AAAAAAAAAGCGAGCATCAGATTCAACAGGATCCACATCCACGACTCGTGTGAGGTGGGTATAATTTAACACGAGCCCTATGGAGAAGGAACTCGCACCAACTCTATGTAAAATCACATGACTCGTGTGACCTAATATGACTATATGTGTCATGTGAGGTCTTGCGTTGACGAGAAAATATGGATGATTTCAGGTCACACAAGTCGTGTGACTTAACCGTAAGTCACCTGACTAGTGATTTAATTTTCTATTTTGACGGAGTTCGACCACTAACAATTAAAAATATCTTAGAAACTTGGTTTGGGGACTTTTTGGACACATCTAGAGGGTAGTAATAAACAAAAGACGCACAAAAGAGCTAAATGAGCCAAGATTGAAAATTGGGGGTTACACGACGACATTAGTTCTATTTTCTTTCTTCTTCATTGAACTCACGTGTCTATCAAATTAATGCTTTGAAAATATGTTAGTGGCTAACTATCTGCCATTTTATGATTTTTTATACTCATATAGATTTACGAGATAGTTTTTTTTATCCATCATCGTTTATCATTCGCTTACTAATTTTTTGTATTTATATTTATTACATGAGATAGTTATGCATACTTGTGATCTATTTGGAGAAAAGATAGTCAGTTACTGGAATCATAGAAGTTTGTAAGGTAAGAGATTGTAAACACCGGGAAGGTGATAAAATATCATGAGAGAACTAAAATATTGAACCAATGGTTAGTTGTTTATCTTAAGATCATGGAAGATATATAGCAATTAGTCTACAATTTAACTTGCTCGAGAGAGAGTGAGAGTGAGAGAGAGAGAGAGAGAGAGAGAGAGAGAGAGAGAGAGAGAGAGAGAGAGAGAGAGATTGTGTTAGTTTAGTGTTTGCCTCTGTGATTGGTAAAATGAAGGCAAAATTTCAAGTCTACTATGTTGGTCATTTTTTGAAAAGGTCCATCATATAAGGTGTCTTAAAAAAAAGACCCACAATGTTGCCACTTTAATCAATTTTCATACAGTTTTGGGGATTGATTAATAAAATGCTGACATTGAAGGATTAGTTTCTGGCGTGGAAGGTAAAATTCAATCTGTGTGAACAAGTGTACTACAACTTTATAGTTGACTTTACATGTGGCTCTAAATCTAGTAATAAAGATTGAATCATACCTAATTCCAGAATTTCCAACACTTGTAAACCCTAATTTGAGAAGCAGAAAAATTAGAGTTGAAAATTTGAGGGAGTTCAAGGTTCGCTGTCAAATATTATATGCTATTATGGCTTGAGGGCACTAGTAAGGAATTCAAAAATGAGCTCGAATCTTGAAAAAAAAAAGTTCTATGACTTCAAAAATTGAATGATTGGATGCAGTTTCTTTTCATGGTGAGAAACAGATAATAAGGGGCTATGAAAAATGAAGGCAAAATAATGAACCTCACATTTCAATCTGGAATTGAATCCCTGAATAAGAAAATAGTGTAACGCCCCACTTTGATTTTAAAGAAATTCCGGACATTCAAAAAAATCAATATAACATTTTTGAAATTCATTTTTCGAAATCATCTTTAACCTGGGCATTATCATAGTTTAAGTCATATCTGAACTCACGGGGATTCATTACAAA